AAATGTAAATGAGAATTACCTTACATTATGTACATACATTACAATATGTATGACAAATGACAGTGTAAAATGTAAGCATTGCATATTTGTGTACTTTTAGAGACATTTGTGGCTCTAAAGCGTGGCTCAAATCTTGAAGTTGGGTCTTCTCACAGCCTTCTCCCCATTCCCATACCCATTGTGTAATATTGAGCTCTTGTAGGCTGAGCATGCTGGCTGCTCAGTTTGGGAGCTCTCCCTGAGGCCTCGTAGCCAAGATGTTCAAGTATATCTAGAGATACAGCATGACCTAACCAGAATTATTTAAAAAAAAAAAATAAAAATCTCAGTATCAAAGAGTGCTTGGCACTGTCTGGAAACACATCTTTTCTGAGTGTTCTCCTTTATAATTTCCAACTCCTAGCAAGTGTGCAGTGCTTGTATATGCTGTATATACCTTGCACCTTAGCCTATACTAAGTGAACATCTGATTGGGGACATTTTTTCCTCTCTGTTCTTTCCCAGTCAATTTTATATGGTGTTGTTTAGTTGTTTTTTTTTCCTATCGTTCACTCATGCAAAGAGAACATCCCAAACAAATATCCCCTTCCAAATATAGATAATAAAATACCACTTTTTAAAAAAAAAATTACTAAAATAGTTAAAGATTTTTTCTCCTGCATTATTTCTATCAAGAGCTTTCTGTTAAGCACATTTACCCCTTCTTCCCTAAACTTAAATTTCAGTCTTGGTTTATTTGCACCAGAGGCCAGATTCTCGAAACTACTGATTAAAAAAATCCATGCAATCTTCTAGAACACTTTGGCAAAGTACTTTTTAAAATACTTGATAATCAAGCATAACTTGTGGTTTAATAATCAGAACTGCAGGCACAAAATATAGTAAGTCAAGTAACAGACATCTGTTAGCATTTTTTAGGTTAATCCACTAATATATTTTTAGAATTACTAAATATTTAAAGCTCCAGACTGAGACCTATTCTTAGGGTGATTTCTTCCCTTAAGTTGAGCTCAAGTAATGCTTTTGATCTCCATTTCCATTCACCTAACTGGAAATTAATTTTTCAAAAGTGAATATATGTTGAGATGAAGACCCAGAAGATATGCCTCCAAATAAAAGGACTTAAGAAAATATATTTATCCTGATCCCTTAATTGTTTACAATAATTTAGACGAATGGTTGAACAGTGTACCAGTATATCAACAGAACCTTTTCATAGTCTGAGTCCTCTTGTGCTGATTTTTGAAAGGCAGCCTGTAAGTCCTGAGGGCTTTTAAACTGCAGAACTCAAGAAATTTGCTAATTTCCTCTTACTGAGGATAAGGACCCCATATAGGCATATTTCCATATGTATGTATGTATGTATGTATGTATGTATATATGTATGTAGCTCTATGTATGTATCTGTATGAATTTTTATATGCACACATGCACTTATTATTTAAGTACATATATACATATATATAACACATCATGTGTATATAAAATATATACCATGAGTGCAGACATGTTACACATATGTGCATTTTCTTTGCCTCCTTTTCTCACAGTCTTCTTTGAAACTGTCTTTATTTGTTTTACATTACTTTTTGGCTCAATTTGGCTGGACCCACTAAATTCTGCCTCACTGGAATAGTTTATTTAAAAAAAAAACCCCAAACCAAAACAAAAATAAGAGATATAAATTAGAAGCCACACATTAAAAATGTGCCCACTCCTGAAGGTGTTTGACTAGGATTTTGACTAGGATTTTGACTGCCAAAAAAAGAGTATGAAGTGCATGCAAGAGAGACTGGAAAAGAGAGAGCTTTGGAGAGCAAATGTGCTTTGCAGAAGTAGTTCAGTTTGCATAATTTATTTTAAATATGGATCCTCTCTGGTGTGTGAGCACTCCCTCCCTCACCACCTCCACGCCCCTTTTTTCTTTTAAAAATAGGAATTTCTGTGCTGCTTGTGTTCCAATATTCCAGTTCAAAGAGCGTGCCTGACGGTAGCTCAGCACCTGTGTACTTGACTACTTACTGCTGAGGAGACTTGCTTGCCGGTAATCTAGATTTATGGTAAGTCTACCCTTTCCCTTCATCTACAAGGTCCAGGGACACTCAGGTAGCCAATCTGCCCTTAAATATGTCTCTGAGGAAATGGTGCTAATTAGTATTGGAATTTACAGCCTTCCATTTTATTGACTTGTCCTACTTTCTTCGATAATTAACTAATGAGTAAAGTAATGAGCTATGTTAGTCAGTCATGATGTTCAATTAAACAGCAAATCAATTATTGAAAATAGTTTCGGACAGCTCTTGTGTCGTCATGGTGGGTGCGCGTGCATGTGCGTGTGGGTATGTGTGTCCACATGTGTTTTAAATGCGTGCCCTAGATGTCACAGCATTCCTCCCTGGAGGATACCTGGCTGCAGGAGGGCTGTGTGGTCACAGCCAAACCAGACCAGTGATGCTTCTTGCTTGCCTTTTCCACCCCCCATTCAACTGTGCTACATAGCGCCCTGATGCCGCACCTTATCTGCAGGGGTCCCCAAGGCCTGAGAAAGACAAGATTGCTGTAACATAGGGAGTGGTTTTCCTGATGGAGAGGTCGGCAGAGGGATGCTATGAAGCAGTGTGTCTGTTCACTGACATGACCCCTCTGCCTCTTTCTTGGCATATGCAATCTTTCCTGGTGGGCAGGGTCACCTGTCCCAGAGCTCAGCATTACAGCAGCAGGAACTAATACAGCAGTATTAGTCCTCAAACCCTTAACCTCTCTTCTGGCCACAGCAATATGCAGGAACAACAGAGAGGGTGGCAGGGAGTTAAGGATTTTTCCCCTGAGGGCTTTGCATACCAGTCCGAGCAGCAATTGTCCATGGGAAGAGGCTCCCAGGACCATAATATCGCAAGTACCCTGCACTAAACCTGAGGGAGCACTTCAAACACACTCCTGTGTGGCCACTGGCAGGTCAGGTCACAATTTGCTGGGGCAAGGGAGTGACACTGACACCTGGACTCTGTACAGCACAGACAACTTCATTTGGCATGGGCTGGGCAAAGATCTTTTTTGGCAGGATGAGAAACAGACATTCATTATCTCACTAATGTTTTGAGTAGAGATTTGCCTAGGAAATGTAAAGGGCAATTCCAGCAAAGAAAGGTGTAGCTGACATCATCATTCATTAACTTAATAGCTTTCTAGGTTTAATTATTCTTTCATTTGACCTTTTTACCCTTCCTGTTTCCTTCACATCTTTTGCCTTCTGTTTTCTGCTTCAGGAGATGGTAGCACACCTGCACCTGGTGCCCACGACTGCAGGCTTTCACAATCACCCTCCTGGTGACATCCAGCTTGTTGCTTTTGCTGTTAGTCTTAGTTCTGTTTTTGGTGATAGAGTGTATCGCAGCAGCATTCCCACATCCAGGAAGCCAACCTGTCCTGAAACTTCAGAAGTTTGGGAACAATTTTTACTGTCCTATACTCTACTCATACAAATAATTATTGACTTGCCTGTCAAAAGACCACTTCACTATGGGCAGCAACAGCTTTCAGAGAAGATAGTAATATGGCATTAAGTAAAAAAAAGAAAAAAAGTTAATGTTATTAAGTGGAAAGTCGGGTTTGGGATTAAAATTTTAACGTAATATTATCAGTTATGCTACCAGAAATAACACTCTTGCGTGATTCCATTTGAATAGCAAAGTCTCACAAATAATGGCATGCCATGCTCTTAGGCTCTGTAATCATACAAATATTATTCATTATTAGTAATAGTCATCTTATGATGACTTTTTTCCAAAGGTAGCAAGCATGCAGAAAGCTCCCCCCCTGCCTTCCAAATTCAGAAGGAAAAGCAGGCCAGTGAGCAAGCTGCGTAAATACAGAGAGAAGAGACTAAACGCATCGGCCTTAGCCATCCAATTGAATCATGATTCATTAGAGAAACAACAAGCCAAAAGAAATCAAAGACAGTTCAAAAAAGGCAACATAAAGTTTTCATTTCCAAACAGTTTTAATTCGCTGTTTGTGCTCTTTACTGAGAATATGCAAGGAACACAAACATTCCCATATGATTTAAATTACAATTTACATATGAATTACATTAGAAATATGAGCTACGCTAAAGAGATAATTAGTGCTGTCCTGGGTTATGTGAGCACAAACAAAATTAAATAAGAACAATTTCAAAGCCAAGTTTTGCTTTGCCTTTTCAACTAAGCTGGTTTAATCAGTGATAATGACCGAAATAAATCCACTACATATAAAACAACGCACAACATATCATACTGTGTGAAATGTCATTACTACATCCCATGCCTTGGTAAATCACGCAGTCAAAAAGGAGTACAATATCACCAATATGATTCTACACAAAAGTTGCCACCTCTGGGTGCCCAGCACTGGAGTTGGTGGTCCCTGAGGCTTGCGAGGAAGCAGGACCCATAGCAGGCCGGTGTTATTGCACTGCTCCAGAGAGAGTGATGGGGAGGGGGAGCTGTGACAGTGTGCACCAGGGATTTTTCTTTTTTTTTTTAACATGGTATATAAATAAGAAAGAGCTGCCACAGGAAAAAAAAATGCCAGTGTTAGCAGAGAGTAATGAGAGGAAGGGAAGCTGGAGAATTGGGGAGGGGGGTAAGGCGGGGGGATGAGGGTAGAAGGAGAGAAATTGAGAAGGATAAAAAATACTAAGCAGAAGCAAACTACCTGTGCATTAGTGCCTCAGCCCCTAAATAGAACTATGGTTTATGACTACTTTGCCTAATGAGCTAAACTCTGGTGACCATAAAACTGAAATATAATTATGACATTAAAGATGCCTATATTTGAACTTAATTATTAATTAATTTAATGAGAGAATAGGAGGTTGTAAAATTGCTAATTAAACGGCTCTGTAAAACTGCAGACGGCAGAGGATTTACCAAATGATGAATCCCACAACAGTATTTGGGCTATATCAATATTCTATTAATATACAGTATGCCAGAGGTACTGGCTAGTACGCTACTCACAGTTAAGCCGATGTGACAGGCATATAGAGTGAAAGAAAATGAAGGACATAAAATTCCAGATGACAGCAACCTTGAAGATGATCTCTGCCCCCACCTCTGTGGCAGTTTCTGAAATCAGTTAAATAAACTCAGAAATGCAGGATAAAAATCAATCTTACCATCGCAAATGTGAATAAATTGGCTTGAAGCAAACGACCCACCTATGGTCTTAGGCACCGTCATGTTGTGTCGCTCTCTGCTTGTGTGCAGGAATGGTCAGAGCAAATCTGGACTTCAGTGCAACAGAACGGGAGGGATGCAGCGTGAGTGAGTGTGTGTGTGCGCGCGCGTGTATGTGTGTGTTAACGTGCTTGCATGTGAAAGAGAAGCTGAGCAAGAGCAAAAAATAACTGTCCCTGTGTGATTAGTGAAATTAAACTCAAGTGAACCTTCAGGGGCTGAATTCAAGCCTACAGGGGACAATTTTAGACATTCCCACACTGCACTATCAGCATGCAAGGAATTTCGCTGTAATATTTGAGTGGCAATGCCATTTGGATGACATTCATTTAAAGATATAGAGGAGGGGTGCAGGAAAATGTTTTCTCTTAGCACTGAACCTAATTCAAGGAACATCAAAAGAAAATGCACTGGGGTACCTCTCCTGCATATCTCTAAAACTCAGTCATGACTAATTACTGGAACAAAACCAAAAAAAAAAATTCAAATATCCCTTTTGTAGGAAACAATGAAACACCTCTGGGCAGTGTAACACAAAACATGAACAACACTAGGGTAAATTCAATATTTTAGTATTTGCATGAATCGTTAGAACTGTTACTTTTTATACCTGCCATGTGGCATAGCTTTTCCTTTATATAATTTGTCTTATAAATGCCCTGTTGACAGCCATAAGAAGGAATTTAGCAAATAACATCAAGAAAATCACTGGAAGGGGACTTGCCTTCCACCCTAAGGGAAACAATATAGTCATTACAATAACATCTCCCATTTTCAAAAAATAGATGGAGGATCTTGAGACCAAGGACAGGAGTTCTATTTCCATGTCCTTTGTGAGTTCTGAAGAAATTGCATAAACTTTCAGTGTCTCAGCTTCTCTTTCTAAGCTGGGCATAACAACAGTTTTATGCCATTCATCATTCATTTTTCAAAACAGTAAATGGAAGCTTACAAGTAATTTCTGAGCAAGTGATCTCTAGAAGTCTAGAAGTTGCTTTTTATTGACTGGTTTGGGATAAGACTTTAGAAAGTGTCACTTCTTCCTTTTGTGGGTTTTGGGGTTTTTTTGTTTTGTTTTTCTTTTTTGGTTGGTTGGTTTGGGTTTTTTTGTTTGGTTGGTTTGGGTTTCTTTGTTTGGTTTGGTTTTTTTTGGGTTTTATGTCCATTTTTGCATATATGAATGAGATAATTTAAAGGAGCTATGTTCTCCATGTGATGTGATGGTCTTGTTTACCTTGTCTCAAATACTAATACAGTTTTCTGTCTCTCGATGCTCAGAAACTTCACAGTGGGTCTTGTATGAAGATCTACAGCTAAAAGAGCTGCTGCTTTAAAAAATCTTGATCCCAGTTTAGAAAACTACTCTGGCTGGTTTCTATCTTCTAATATGTTTAATTAATAAATATGAAAGCTTCTATGCATTTATGATCATTGTATCATGCCCTGCAGTTTTATAGATCCAATTTCTCAAAAAATGACTTCATCTACCAGAAATAAAACCAGACAGATTTCTTCTATGGTATGACCAGTTATCAAACCTGCCCCTTGATTGGAGGCTTTTGTAAAATCCGAATTGTGTTCTCACACAGGTTTCAAGCCCAGCAAGACAGGCAATGAGTTAAAAGTTGCAACTGGTAGGTTTTTAGTAAAAAGGAAGTTCCAAATAGCTCCTCATCACCACAGTGCAGGTTACACATTTAGAGCATCAAAGAAATTGCTCTTTATCTTTTCCAGAACTAGCATATGATAAACTTTATTACAGGTAAGTCTCACTCTTTGCTCAAGAAATTTAACATCCAGCACAGTGGGCAGCTTGAAACAGAAGAAAAATAAGACTATGAAATCTAGGGATGCCTTTATTTCCAAGTTCCCTTGATGCAGCCATTGTAGCAGCTCCCTATGAGAAAAAAATATTTGAGAAAGGGTAAAGATTGGTTAGTTATTGTCCAGCCAAAAGCCTGTTGGTTGTTTTCTGTGATACTTACTGCCATCCAGTTATGAGGAGATCCTGTACAGCGATAGGCAGGGACCTCCTCATTGCAAGGACCTTGAAAGTTCCAGCCAACAGCTCTGAACCTGAAGTTCATGGTCATCTTTGTAAGACTGGTCACTTCAGACTCTGAGAGAAAATTATTTCATCACCTTGCTGTGCTCTGAGGGCTGGAGGCTGGTCACTGTCACCCATCAGTGATTGTAGGGATGAGCAGGGTCAGTCACCTCTCTGAGTACCAGGAGCCATGGCAGTAGTGCTGCTCCCGGACTTGTGTCACCTATCACCCTAAAGTGGTTCACAATCGACTAGCAGCAACTTGGCTAGGGCTTACACATATCACAGTTTGAAAACCTCTGGGATTGCGCATTCTTTAAACACTGGGGGTGAAATCCAGCTGTGACCCAGACCTAAACCATGGAGGTACCTGCCAAGCTTGATTACCAGGAGAGAGCTCCAAAGTAAGAAAAGTTGTGATTAACCATTACTGGTATTGCAGGTATATGTCAGGGTCTCACTGCAATGTGTGAAAAGGGTGTAAAAACCCAAAGCTTTCACTGATCTGATTTAATTCCCAACGATTTAAATTGTTTGTTTTAATTGTGATTTAAAGAAGGTTAACTTGGTTAAAGTTATCTGTTACTTTTGTTTGCATTTGTCCTTTTTTGTGCCCTTTAAAAAGCCTTCCGTCTTCCAGTTGTTTGGCAAGCTGTAAAATATCTGACTAAATACATCCTATTAAGTAAGCTGCTCACTTAGTGTATTTGTTGCTGAACAGAAGGATATTCTATATCTTTGTCCATTCAATTAGAAAGGTTTTTAGTTTAATATAATTTAAGTTCTTCATTTTTCACCTTTAGATAATGGTAGAATATGGTGAGTGCTATAACTTTTTCATTAGGTGAATGCTATTATTTCTTTGGTATTTGTGTTACAAATATTTATATAGACGTCACAACATCTCTAGAATTGGAGAAAAAAGCACTTTAAAATAGTTCTTACTAAGTAAATAAATCAATCTTAATGGATATGTAGAAGGGAAAATTATGTTTACTTAAACAGACTTTCTTTTGCACTTCAAACAAGCATAGTAAATAAATGAAATAGTGTAATGGCATAGCTAAATCAACTATTTCTGTTCGTAATAGCCATTGAGGCCTTCAAATTGGAAGAGCTCAACCTTTCATATCTACTGTATGCATAATAACTTAAAGAAAAAAAACCAAGATTTTTTTTTAAACTTCCAATTGGTTTCTAATGTTGATTGAAGTATTCTTTGATAAAAACTATTGAATACTTTGAAATTAGAAAAAAACTTTTATAATTCCTGAAACAAAATTTCTGCCATCAAAAATTCTAAATCGAGGTAAATAAATGTTGATTTTATTTTTTGTTTCTTTGCTAGTAATTTCACAAGAACAGTGTTTTAACTTTTTTTTTAAAGCCTCAGAGTGAGACTAGCACTGCTTACAACTGTTGTGGTGTTGCAGAGATAAAAACATAGGGAAAACACATACAAAAAAGTAATAAAAAATAAGTTTCTTACTCGAGCCTGAAGTCTGCAGATGTGAAAGTTGTAGTCTGAAAATAGAGGATTACTGTATTTATCAAAAGGCAAAAGAATTTGCATTAGTTCCTGTTACTGCAATCTTTCTTTAAATCAAAAGAAGTGACACAACATGAATAAGATAGGAAATATATGGATTCAACTTTTACCTCTCAGGAAAACAGTCCAATTATTATATTTGGTTTGAAATCTGAAAACTAAAAGGTGCTCTTCCATGTATGTGGATTAGCAGTATGGCAAAAGCTTGAATTGGAATTAAATTAAAAACTCTGTTGTTCCACAAGGTGAATAATCAAGCTAGCTCCACTAAATTAACTTGAAGAGTTTAGCAGCAGTAAAATATATAAGCATTTTTGAAAACACAAGGATCAAATAGATCTGTGTAGCATTGAGATGACAGGTAGCTTATGATTATATGACATTGGGAGAAAGAAAGAGATATGTTTATTTTTTGTTAGTTTTCCACAAGATCACAAGTTCTTCTGGAAGAAATACAAGGACAACTTTGGGATCTGCAATATATAGAAAACTCTTGCCTTTCATTTTGCCACCAGATTACACCTTTGGATTAATCTCTCTACCCAGCTCTCCTCACTATTTATGAACAGTTTGTGAACTTTTCTATAACTCATTTAGATAATTATCATAAACCCTCCTCCAAATATAAGTGTTAAGAGGACAGCAAGTCGGTTTCAGCTGCTGAAGCAAACTGCAGTGAATATTTTTCATCAGGGAATTACATAGACTTTCAGAGGATGATTCACAAATGGTTGCCCCACAAACCCTCGATGCCCAGCAAGCTGCCTCACATCATGCTTCTGCTCTGTTAAAGTGCAGTTTGCCCAACCAAGAGACGAGATCACTCTGCAGACAAGCCAGGACAACTCTTTAGCCTATTTTTATTTGTTTTCCCATTACCTGCGGTTGTTAGTCTTGTTATGCTTGAGTGCAAAACTTGTTACAACCCCAGTTGGTCAGAACACTGCTTAAAAATTGTTCTAAATACAGTTCTCTGCCCTAGATTTCACTGGAACTATTCATTTGGTTAAAACTACTTGTCTGTTTAAGTGATAGACTGAATTTATAGGCAAATTTTAGACTTTAACCCCACCATAATCATTTGGTTTTTTTCCCCTTTTGTTATGTGAAATCAGATAATTCTTATTTGTTTTATATTAAGTTTCCTTTATACATTAAAGGTTTACAGAGGAAGCCAGAGTCATGCATGACAAGTATGTTAAAAAGCTTAATAAAAAGAAACTGCAGTATAAAAACCAACGTGGAAACATGTAAATTCAAACTATATATAAAAAAAAATCTAAATACAGCAAAGATGTTTGTTGGTCCCTTCCAAATCAGCATATTCTGCAAATCCATGATTCTGTGATTCTACCTTACCTATATGTAGATACAGTCTGAAACAATGTTTTCTTCTGAAACAGAAATCTGAATGTAGACTATACGACATAATTTAAGTAAATATTGCCTGAAAAAATAACAGATGTCTGTTTTCAACAGATCCACTTGAGAAATCAAGAGTAAAAAGGAAAAGGTTAGCAAAGCATCTCAGAAGTGCAGACGTTAAAGCATTAAAAAAACAATTT